CCTTTGAAAGCTCTCCCCACAGCAACACACTGGGAATTCAGCAGGATGGCCCCCAGGGAAATCATTAAAGCAAACATATAAAAGGGGAGAAGAAAATGAAAGAAATATAAGCATTGACTCTGCGCGTTTCTGAGTTCTCCTCTTTCACGTGAATTAATGTGATGTTCAGCAAAAAAAAACCCCAAGCTGTCCATCTAAGGGAATGCATTATTCCTTGGAAGCATAGGGATAAACCACTGGTCTCCAATATCCAACTATTTAAAGCACCTACAATAACATGGCATGAGGAAAAATTCAAATGAACTGATGCAAATACATCCACAAGGATCCAAAATTAAAAACCCAACACCTTTCTGTGTCCCTCGGAGGAAGATCTGGGAATTTTCCTGTGCTTGGATTACTGTTAAAAGCAGCACTGGATTTATTCAGACCCAAAAGATCAAGACTGTTGGGAAAGATGTGATTTAGAGATTCAGGCCCAGCCTACATGTCTCTGGTGGGGAGTTCAGATGCTTCCATATAAATGGAAATAGATCCACGTGAATAGATATTTGATAACACTGCCTAACGGAACTTCATTGCATTTTCAGATGTTTTCCCACCAGGTTATTGAAATTCTTGCTACTGGAAGGAGAGAGGACTCACCAGGAAACCTGCAGCTTGTTCTGAAAGGCATCAATGTGGGAAGATTAAGAGTTGCTCTTTCCCACCCCATCAGGACTCAGGTGAGGAAAGAGATCCAGCTGAAAGCACAAGGCAAAATTAGGAAGGCAGAGTGTAGTTGAGCTAATTGTGGTTTCCTACACCAACCAAAGCATAATTAACAACAGCTGCCTATAAATATACTTTTTTTTTTTTTCCTGTCTGAAGCTCCGTGGACACTTTTCCCATTCCGTTTGTCTGCAGAGCTCTGCTCTGCCATGGACACCGGCCAGTCTCCAGCAACTTTAGGCAAAGATCAATCCATTTTCTAATTAGAGGTGTGAATGAAGGGAAGGTAAAACGGCCTTTGTAAATACAGCAGGCCCCAAAGAATGACTTCTTGGGATGCTGCATTTCCATAGCATTTCCTGTGTAATCTTTTCAACCTCTCCACTCTCATCCATGATTTATGGTGCCCAGGTGCTCCTTGGCAGTACTTTCAATGCCTGTGCTGATAAAGAGTGTGTCTTGAACTTGCTTTCAAATTTTATAAGAGTTCTTGCATTTGTCCTTCATATTTAGAGGTTTTAAAAAAATATAACATCAAACTGCCTTTTCCTGCAGGATAATGAAATGAGCATCTCATTAATGAGTCACATGAACTTTCCCCACCATCAGAACAAGCTTAATTCCACCATAATTCCCTGCCTGGATACCAAACCTCATTGTGACAGCCCAATTAGTTCTGCTGGCAACATTAATGAGATGATGATTATTTGAGAAACACACCTTGCAAGTATGAATTCCATGCAGCCCTCTGGTTAAAAGGGATATTACAGCTTTAATAGAAGGAGACATCAAAAAGCATTTCCCCACACAAAGGAATTCAAGGATTGTGTTGAAATTTAATATAACACATGATAAAGAGATGAGCTGGAGTAAAAGTCTGTCGCTGCTTCTCATACAGTATTATTTATGGCTCTATATAGGCCCAACTCCATGAAATTAGCAGATGGAAACCTTAATACCTTGTGACACAACTGGGCTGAGCCATCTAATATCTCCCATAAATCCTTTAAAAACAAATAGTCCTTCAAATAATTATGCTGTTCCAACATATTAACTTCCCAGACACCAGCAAGTGATAAAAAGTCCTGTTTTAGGGAAGACCAGTGAAAAGACTTGTCTGTATCCTGGGCTTCGAATCAAAAGCCTTTTGCATTAGGACCACACTCTGCACTGAATAAATGTCAGAGAAATAAACTTGATGGAACAATATATTTTTCCATGCTCTAAAATTATGAATTTTAAAAAGGACCTAGAACAGGAAACTACAACTCCAGGGGTAAAAAAAATCAAATCTCAACCAGGTCACTAATAATCTAATGTCAACTGTTAAAAAAAAAAAGGAGAATGCTAAATAATCAAATAGCAAGCTGCCAGGGAGGTGTGTAGAGGGAACTGTGAGGAGCTGTGTTATTCTCTGTGTATGTTGATTAGAATTTTAAAGAAAATGTAATGTTTCTCCCAACTCTATTTCCCCATTTATAACCCAGAGCATGAAATCTGCCAGGCTGATTAGTATCTTAGATCCTCCTAGATGCTGATCTCACTCAGCTTGGGTGCTTGAGAGATGGTCTGCAATGTTACTTTCCTGAGAAGGAAAAGGAACTATATGAGTGCGAGGTGAATCTCTGGGTTGGAGAGGTTTAATACACAATGTAGGTTTGGCTCAGCTAAACTTATCCTTCCTTAATTACATATTCCTGGTATGCAGCTGACTCCCACTTCCTGCAGCACAGATAATTGCCCCTTCCACTCCCATCCCTCTCTGATCACTACTGTGGATGAAAAATGTAAAAGAAATGTTTATCACAAGTGAATTATTTTAATTTCTTGTAGCAAACCAGAAGAAAAGCACCAGCCCCAAGCAGCCCACCCTGCAGAAAGCAGCCAACGACTGGATCTTAAAACAACTGTGTAGGCAGAGCTGTTTATTCCACTTTGCTTTCCACTCCATTGCATCAATGCATTTATTTACTCTCTTGCAGCACTGTGGATCTATCTCATTATGCTGGCCAATCTTTCTTTATATTAGATATAGATATAGATATAGATAGATGCAGCACAGAATTGTCTCTTTCAAGAGACACGAGATTACTGCTGAAATCATGGGCTGCACTTAATCAAATGTGAGAGAAGACTTAGATCTGTCCTAAAGATTTCTGCCAAGCTGAGACCTTGGCCAGTCAGTCCAAATACAGCCTGAGGTGCTTATGAGGCTGAAACACCTCAGTGATTTCAAGTGCCAGACAACACACTGTGCCTCTCCCAGAACTGGAGAATCAGCTTCTCTTGCCAAAAAGAACCTCACCAAAAGAAAAAAAAGTGGTATTGCTAACCCGAAATGCAATATTAAAGTGAGATCCCAGGGTACAGAAGAGCTGTTTTTATCATGATGGAAATTGTACCTGAAAATACAGGTAACTTCATGCCCTGAAATACAAACTTTTTGCCCTTTATTCCCATGAGGTGTTGCATCTGAGGGTGCAGGCACAGTACACCCAGCCTCAGCCAGCACGTCCAGCCTAACAACAGCTATATCTCAGGGTTACCAAGGTTGGAAAAGACCTTTAAGGTCATCTAGTCCAACCATCAACCAAGCACCACCACTGTAACCCCTAAACAGCTAAACCACATCACCCAGACCCAGATGCCTCTTGAATGCCTCCAGGGATGGTGAATCCATGACCTCCCTGGGTGGCAGAATCTCTCCCTGTTCCAATGCCTGACTACTTGAACAGTGAAAATTTGGTTTCTAATATCTAATCTGGATTTCCCCTGTCTCAATTTAAGGCCATTACCTCTTTCCTCTCAGCACAGCAAACAGACCAGACCGCACCTCACCACAACCTCCTGTTCAGGGTGGAGGGGAAGTTGTAAAGGGTGATTCTGTTGTTTTGAAGAGAAAGAATTACAGGTGTCTTGAGAGCCATCTGTGTTCATCTTCTGGGATATGATACACTGTCCTAAAGGTAAAAGAGTAATTTAAAAATAATGGTAAAAAAGTAAATTAAAAATTACCTACTGTTTCTCTTGGCTTTTCAGTTCTATTGGCAAAACAGAGCTGCGGCTGACCTGGAGCATAGGATGCTTTTAGCAGAAGTCATTGCAACGCTCCATGGCCAGCCCTTTAACCCGTGTTTTTGCAATGATTTCTGACGTTTAATAAGTGTAACAGGCATGGCTTGGTGTGGAAGGCCTGGTGGAGGGACTGGGAAACCTCGTGGTGTTCCCATTTAGAGCCTGTTTTGCTTTTCCCCCATGCCCAGCCCAGGACAAAGCTGATGGCCCTGGGACGTGGGGCTGTCCCGGGCTGGCTGTTGGGCACCAACGCTGTCAGTAAAGTGCTCTTTATCCTGGTTTGTAAGGAGGGTCAGGAATTTTAGAGGTGCCTGGTATCGTTGTTATGACGAGTCTCCTCTTTTCGAGACTAAACCCCCCCAGCTCCCTCAGCCGCTCCTCACCAGCCGAGTGTTTTAGACTCTCCACGAGCCTTATTCCCCTTCTCTGGATACGCTCCAGCGCCTAAATGTCCTTTTTAGAGTGCAGGGTCCAGAGCTGGACGAGGTGCAACTTCCCAGCTCCATCAAAGCGGGAATGTTTTAAGGCAGGACCGGCCGCCTCGGGGGTGGGACGGCCCGGGCTGCCCGCCCCGTGCCCGCCCCGTGCCCGCCCCGTGCCCGCCCCATCCCCGCCCCATCCCCGCCCCATCCCCGCCCCATCCCC